TTATATACAAACAATTATTCATTGTTTATCTGAAAATCAAATTTAATTGAGCACCCTGTATTTTATGAGGATCCCTGTGTTAATGAATAAAAACGACTCCTCATTAAGCACTGCCTGTGTAGCCCAGGCCTTGCAGAGACTATCTGACAGCAACTCCACAGAGGGTGCTGGGCAAGGGTTGGCCTGTGACAGAGGAGGCGTCTGAGGCTCAGGGAGGGAAAGTGACTTGTCCAAGAATTAGTGATAGCCCCAAGGGTGAGTGTTGGGGTTATGTGAACTGGGCTTAATGGGAAGGGACAGTCTGCTGCCTTTCCTATTCAACAAAGCTCCCAGGGAGGCAAAAGTTAGGGGTTTTACCTGGTGGCAGGACAAGGACAGGTAAACAGGTGCCGAAGCCTTTTTGAGTTCTGTGGTACAAATGAGAAAGCAGTTACGAAGGTGGGTTAAAGAATCGTCCATTCAGGCACTCATTTATTCAGCATTTAGTGAACACGAGTACCAGGTGCCAGAGAGGTAAATAAAGCCAGGGAGGTTATTCCCTTCCTTAAGAGACTCGTACTTTTCTGGTACCTTGCTGCTCAAAATGTGGTCTGTGGAACAGCAGCATTGCCATAGCCTGGGAGTTCCTCAGAAATGCAGACTCTCAGGCTCCACCCCAGGCCTCCCAAATCAGGATCTTCATTTTAACAAGATTTCTGTGTACTTTGAAGTTTGAGAAACACTGGTCTAGCAGAGCAGTTGTCAACCTTGGCTGCCCATTGGAATTATTCAAGGGAACTTTTAACATGCCTTGGCCCTGCATAAGACTGACTGAATCAGAACAGATTCTCTGAGGAGGGGCCTAGGTGTTTGAGAAAGCTCCCCAGAGGTTTCTAATGTGCAACTAATGGTGAAAACCATTGGTCTCAGCCAGAAGTTTTCAAACTTGAGTGTGCAGTAGAATCACCTGGAGAGCTTATTAGAACAGATTTCTGGGACTCATCCCTAGAGTATTGGTTCAGCAGCTCTGGTGTTGGGCTTGAGAATTTGCATTTCTAACAAGATGCTGATGCTTCTGGTCCTGGGACCACACTTTGAGAGCCAGTGGACTAGCTGGTGAGACAGACTGTTTATTAATGATTAACAAAGGGAAACAAATGTGAGGACATGAGGCACAGGTGGTACAGATGAGGGGCCCTTAACCTGGCTGGGAGGATCAGGGAAGGTTTCCCAGATATTATGCACAAGCTGAGTCTTCAGTCCAGTTAGATAGATAAGGGGGAGGGGCATTAAGGCATGGGAACAACTTATGCAAAGACTTGGAGGTGTGAGAGTTAGGTAGAGAGCCAGGGTGCAGGTGTGGGAGCAGATGCTGGGAAACACAGGATGTTCTACCTTAGAGGACCCTGGAGACTTAGCTTGAGGGCTGTAGGGAGCCATCAAAATGTCCATGGGCTTGCCCTGAACCCTCCCATGGATTTGCTGAACTCACCCAGACCCCTGCATGGAGGGGAACCAGGGAGCTTTCTTTTTCAGGCCCTTGCCCCTGATTCTGTTCCTCTCCATTCCAGCCTCACCTCTGTTCCTGTCTGGATATTCCAGCCATGGGTACTGGAACATTAACCTGGAGATGTCAAAAATATCGATTGATTTTTCGTAGGCCATCCTTTTATTCTCCTGGTGAGGCCAGAGGGAACTTGGGCAGGGTGGTGATGGTGGTGGTCAAATACAGGGCCTGTTGGGGGAATGGGGACTCAGCTCGGGGGGACCTGTCTTCTGCTGCGCAAGAGGAACTAGTGAGGTATCTGGGCTTCTAGAGATGGAAGCTTCCAAGTGCTGAGCAACCAGATCTCCTAGGTAAATAGAATACTCCAGTTCCATTCTTTATTTTTTATTTATTTATTAATTTTTAGAGAAAGAAAGGAAGAGAGAGGGGAAAAAACATCGATTTATTGTTCCACTTATTTATTTATTCATTGGTTGACTCTTGTATGTGTCCTGACCGGGATCATACCTGCAAACCTGGCATATCGGGATGATGCTCCAGCCAAGTGAGCTCCCCAGCCAAGGCTCCAGTTCCAGTTCTTGAGCCCCAACCCTGGCATCTACTGGTTTGTAGGCTGAGCTAGTCATTTTACCTCTGGGAATTTTAGTTTCTTCTTCGAAAAAGTGGGAAAGTCATGCCTGTCTAGCTAACTAGAGGGGCTGTGGTGATGCATAAATTCAAAGAGGAAGTCAAAGTGTTTGGTGAAGTGCCAAGTTCACATAAGCCTGTATTAGGAGCAGGGGTTCGTCTAAGGATTAGTCATCACGAAAATGCAGGGATGGGAAAGTCCCTCATATACACATACCTCCCTCCTTGGCAGCAAGAGACTGAACTAAGTCTGTGGTAAGGCCATTCATAACTTCAACTTTTGCATATACTGTTTCCTCTGCCTGTAGGCCTTTCATTTTCTTTTCTACCTTTTAAACAGTTTTTCAAATATTTCAAACTCTATTTATTTATTTTGGTTTGCTATTTTTATTTATTTATTTTAAAAAATATATCTTTATTGATTTCAGAGAGAGGAAGGAAGAGGAAGAGCGAGAGACAGAAACATCAATAATGAGAGAGTCATTGATTGGCTGCCTCCTGCACTCCCCCCACAGGGAATTGAGCCCACAACCCAGCATGTGCCTTGACTGGGAATCGAACCACGATCTCCTGGATCCTAGGCTGACGCTTAACCACTGAGCCATGTCTGGCCTGGCTGGTTTGCTATTTTTAAAAAAATTTATCTTTATTGTTGAAAATCAAACTCTATTTAAATGTTACCTCTTAAGTCTCTTTTCTCCCTCAGGCCCCCTGCCTCACCCCATTCAGGTGTAATCCCCCTACCCTACAATATGACCAATGCCTAACACAGTGCCTGGCACACAGAAGACAGCTCACTGTAGCAAGAGAACATTGGCCACCAAGCCATCAGACTTGACATCACTAGTAAACTCACGTTGTATGCCCCTATGTGCTGCACTGAGAAAGACAGCACCACCCACCTGCTATTCCTGCCAGAAACGTTTACCCTGAGTTTAATTAGGAGGAAACAATCAGGCAAATTCAAATAAAATGTTCCACAAAAATCTGATCTGAGCTCCTAAAAAATATCAGTGTTCTTAAAGACAAAAATCTCTGTTAAAGGGCACCAAAGAGACATGACAGCTAAATCCAATATGTGCACATAATTGTATCCTGGATTTAAAAAATAGCTAAAAGAGACATTGGTACAATTATGGGGATTTGATCAGGGCCTGTGTTTTAGAAAATTATACCGTGTCAATGTTAAGTTTTCTGAGCGTGAACTATGTACTGAAAGTTTTAGGGGTGAAGTGATATCACATCTGCAACTTACTCTCAAATTCAGGGAAAAAAAATATTATACCAACCATATATACATATACGCTCACACGTATATGCGTATAGATAAAGCAAATATGGTAAAATGTTAATATTTGAATCTAGATGATGGGTATGTGGGTGTATTCTTACAAATTTCTGTAGGTTTGAAATTTTGCAAATTAAAGGTTAAAAAAAACAAAACCATGGGCTTCGACATTAGACCTGATGTGTTTAAATGTCCCACCCACC